AACTATTAAACAAACTGCACAAGATGGATCTATTCACTCACAACATGAAATACTTACTCAAATATATGTGAACTTATTATTGAAAATTCATGAAAGTGGGTGTGCATGGGATGAAAAGGGACTTCTCGTCCCATGGACATCCACTTATATATCTTTCAATGAAAATGATCCAGAAATATTTAAAACTTGTGTTTTATCAATTGTTTAAAGTATTTCTACTTGTAAACTATTAAACAAACTGCACAAGATGGATCTATTCACTCACAACATGAAATACTTACTCAAATATATGTGAGCTTATTATTGAAAATTCATGAAAGTGGGTGTGCATGGGATGAAAAGGGACTTCTCATCCCATGGACATCCACTTATATATCGCTCAGTGAAAATGATCCAGAAATACAGAAAACTACCAAACACACTGGACGAGATGGATCTGTTCACAACCTGAAATACTTACTCAAATATAAGTGAACATATTATTAAAAGTTCATGAAAGTGGTTGTGCATGGGGTGTAAAGGGACTTTATATCCCATGGACAACCACTTATATATCTTTCAATGAAAATGATCCAGAAATATTTAAAACTTGTGTTTTATCAATTGTTTATAGTATTTCGACTTGTAAACTATTAAACAAACTGGACAAGGTGAATCTGTTCACAACCTGAAATACTTACTCAAATATAAGTGAACATATTATTGAGAGTTCATGAAAGTGGGTGTGCATGGGATGAAAAGGGACTTCTCGTTCCATGGACATCCACTTATATATCTTTCAGTGAAAATGAACTAGAAATTCTGGGAACTTGTGTTTTATCAATTATAATATTTCTACTTGAAAAAGGCCAAACAAACTGCACAAGATGGATCAGTTCACTCACAACATGAAATACTTACTCAAATATATGTGAACTTATTATTAAAAGTTCATGAAAGTGGTTGTGCATGGGGTGAAAAGGGACTTCTCATCCCATGGACAACCACTTATATATCTTTCAATGAAAATGATCCAGAAATATTTAAAACTTGTGTTTTATCAATTGTTTATAGTATTTCGACTTGTAAACTATTAAACAAACTGGAAAAGATGGATCTATTCACTCACAACATGAAATACTTACTCAAATATATGTGAACTTATTATTGAAAATTCATGAAAGTGGGTGTGCATGGGGTGAAAAGGGACTTTTCATCCCATGGACACCCACTTATATATCTTTCAGTGAAAATGATCCAAAAATACTAATAACTTGTGTTTTATTAATTGTTTATAAATTTCTACATGAAAAAAGCCAAACAAACTGCACAAGATGGATCTGTT